TCTCACCTTCTCAAGACCCACTGCTCTCACCTTCTCAAGACCCACTGTTCTCACCTTCTCAAGACCCACTGTTCAAAGAGAAAGTCCAAGAGTAATGATGTAAACCATGTAATCTAGTTTGGAACATATAGATAACTTTTTATTCATTTATCTAAACCAACCACAAAGACTTAGCAGCTCACCCTTACGCAATGATATTGAGAAAACTGTCAATTCTATTTGCAGTTTCTTACTCGTAATTCTTTCCCGATAACTGTGAATCATTGCCTACTAAAGATTTTAGAGAAGGGAGGGAATTGCTTTTGAATGAGCTATTAAACTATAAAACTATACATTTTGTCTCCATGAATTAAATACTTATAGAATTTTCCAGAAGACTATATTCAAGAGTTGAGCAGGGTGAGGTGGAGTGACACAGAGTAGAGATTCTCAAAAGATTTCAATGTTTCTGAGAAAATTGTTGACCCTTGAATAGTTTATTTGTTGTTTACCATGGTGTTATTTAAACATTGGAAGAAACACTAAAAAAAAAGATATTTCAAAACTCCCCCAAATTCAGTGTCCTTTTGCACTGTAGAAGAAATGCAGTTTTCAAGATGGACTATTGGATATGTAACCCAAATCTTAATCAGTGGAGACTGACAAGGGCAGCCATGTTGAAGACTATAACCCCACGTGATGGAACACATTTCAAAGGAGAATCATGCCAACTTCACCAAGAAGATTAACAAAGGAGATTGTTGAGTTCTTCTGCTAGGTCTCTCAAAAAAGTGAAGCTCTATAGAAACAGAATCCATCAGAAAGGTAAGTTCTACTGACAATTAAACTAAGAAGGACCTTCACCCAAGAATAAATTGGCTTATGGCAGAGAAGGCACGGCAATGACAGCACTTTGAAAGCGGAATTCCCTCATCATGTGAAAGTATTTAAAGGAGGAACTCTTCACTGTTGTAAAAATCCTCAAAGGAAACCCTGCCCCCACTCCTAATAATAAGGAAAGTGCTTCAAAGGGTGATAGGCAAAGACTGAAGCAATCTGGGTCTTGTTGAGAAAATTATCTTGAGCAAAGGGGGAGGGGGGCGGTGTTTATGTCAATTTTGACATTAAAGAAAGATCATCCATCCTCCTTTCTCTAGGATTTCCTTTTTGGTCTTCTCATCTAACAAAACATTATTTGTTTTGGATGCATTCCACGCACTTTTTAAAAGGAAAGTCATGTGAAAATCTGTATAAACAGAGTTGGCTCACCCCACCCCCAATACATCCCTTTGTTTCTATTTGATGAGGTTGGATTTGAGCGTATTATCATTTTATTTCCAAGATTATAAACTTTATCAGCCTATTATTACCAAGAATATCTTATATTGAATAAATAGGCTGTTCCCTTAAAGAATTCTCATCTTTAGATAGCAAACAAATACAGGTACTACAACTAAAGCAGACAAGTTGGAATATGGCAGTTCTGCTTCCATTTTATCCAACCATCAGGCCAAATTACTCTGCAGACCTAACTTAATACTGCTGGTATAATGTGAAGCAAATCCAGAATATGTTCATTTACATCTCAAATATAAGAACAAGTGATCCACTTTATTAATAGTAGATCCTCCGTGCTTGTTACCATCTAACTAGAATGAATTTTTTTAGGTTGCAGTAAAAAGAATTATTTCTTCTCACTCATAACGTAGCTTAATAAAGCTGCTCTGAGTCTACTTGAACCCATAACTGAATAGTGACATAGCTCTCCACAAGTAATGTTCTGTTGACAAATTTTAAATGTTTCACTCGAACTGCCTCCTGAGAAAAAACTTTCTCAGCCCTCTATTCCAACTTTTCCTCCGTCCTTTCAAAAATCTTTGAAACAAGTTGTTAAAACTAGCAACAGATTATAAACAAGCTGAAGCCAATTCCATCTGTAGCACGTCTAGAAAATGTGGCCCTCATTCCCCATTCTTAATTTAACAATGATGGCTATACAGCTTCCATTTCCCCTACATCTTCCCCCAGCCTCCAAATAAAAGTCAGAAACCTTGGTTGTCAGCTACACGACCCATCAGTAGAACATAGCAGAAACTCCTCATGACCAAGAATTCACTGAATTGAAATATAATTACAAATATTTTATCATCTTCAAATGCAAAATCAGTTTGAGTACAATAAATCCCAGTTGGGCTGGGGTGATGGTTTATCAGTGATGATCTATACTTGAGCATGGTTTTGGTGAGACAAACTGGAGATTGGCAGATCTACATTTTTGTGTGAGTACCAATTCTCACAGCTTTATAATTCTAGCACCATATTTCAAAATTTGTAGCTTTTAGTTTCTTTGTAGCCAGAATCTGTTAACCTCACTGACCACAATTTACCTTATTAGCTACTTCCAGCCAAATAATAAAACTCTCTAT